AATTTATTTTTTAATTACTGAATTTAAAGAATCTCTCCCCTCTAAAGTTTAATGGCATTGAATCAGTGCTTTGATTAAGGCAGCTTGATGGAACACATAGAACTGAGTATGTCCAAAATATACCGAGGAGACAATGCAAGATAAGATGATGCCTGCCTTCTATGACCCATATCTGGGTTGGGTGGATCAGCTATTAAATACCTCTGTTCACTTACTATACAACCCTCATATCCACATAATAGAGATCTACCAGTAGGACAGGCCTTACTTCAGTCTTGGGAATCTCCCTTCAACCTAAACCTAGTGCCTGGAGCTACCCATCTGATCACTTCCAAAAGGTCCATTTTTGGCGAGCAAGGCAACAGCTAGTAAGTATCATGAGAAACTTTAGTGGCGGAGAGTAAAAGCAATAGCATGACTTCAACTACATCATCTCTACCTCTCAGAAGCTTAGGGAATAATAAGGGGAAACAGCATATCAGACTAAATGATCTAGCATTATCTTGTGTTGCAGATCACCATCTGGGGTGAGGAAGGATCCCTGTAGGTTGAGATTAGGAAAAGACTTCCTGGAGGAGGCAGGATTTGAGCTGATCGATTATTAGGGAGCACTGGTGGCCCAGTGACAAGAAGCTGTACTGCAATCCCAGAGGCACTTGGTTCAAATCCACCAGCTGCTCCACGGGAGAAGAATGGGCAGTCTCTTTCCACGTGATTAACTACGTCTGAAAATCTTCTGGAGGGTCAGCTATGGGCCGGTTCCCACTTGACAGTACACAACAAACAACAATTATAGAGGAGGGTTAATTAGTTGTGGGTGGGACTTACCAGGTAGGAGCCATAAGATTTGGTAATATAAATCCTCAAAGGATTCATGAACATAAATCATCCGCAAAAGAAACATGTCTAGTATCTGAGGTCAGTGGAGACACTAAACTGGCAGGAGGGTAAACTTCGGGGGTGTTTGTCCCTTAACCACTGTCATAGCCCAGAGCCTGTTGTCGTGCCCAACTTCTTTTTGCCTCACCAGCAGTTGGAGGCTTCCCTGAGGATGCTCTCACTCTCTGCAGCTTTGCCCCCACCAACCACAGCAGATCAGGTAAGAGAACAACCAACTGATCACCTTTATACAGAATCATCTTTTCCTTTGTGAAAGTGTGTGCAGGAAGTGGAGTTGCCTTCACCCATTTTTCTCAAAGACAGCAACAATGATCAAGCTTGTACTGAGTGTATATTGTGCGTCCAACCATGAGCAAAGAGCTCAGGAAAAAATGAGGACGAACAAAAACTCAGCCTGATGTATGGACAGAACAGTTCCGAAATAAAAGCCAGATTGACTGAAAAAATGCATACTGAATGCTGTGAGAACTCAGCAAAGGCAGGTGTGAACAGAAGCACCTACTCTATATCATATGAGATAGTGTGCTCGATGATAAGCATATGATAGTAAATAAAACAAAACACTTAAGATCCCTGTCTTCATGGAGCACAGAATTCTATTTGGGCATCAAGTAAACAGATATTTGTAGGTTGTAATGATTGCTGTTGTTAGGTATTGTCAAATTAGTTCTGAATGATAGCGACTCTGTGCCATCCTCATTTTGTTCCTGTATTGGAGCCTGTTGAAGCAAGCACGGTGTGGGTCCTCAACCTCTCTTTTGCTGACCCTCTATCAACCATGATACCTTTCTCCAGGGACTAGCCCTTCCTGATAAGCCCAAAGTACCTAAGACAAAGTCTCACCATCCTCACTTTTAAGGAGGATTCTGGCTCTATTTCTTCCAAGACATACCTGTGGTTTTTCTTGTAGTTAGGGAACTCTGGTGGCAGAGGCCCTACCAAGTTGCTTTGTTAACCCAAAGCTGCATTGTGACTTGATGGAGAGTCAGCTCTGAGTTGAAACTGATTCCACAGCAATGAGTTGTTTTTCCTGGCAGTCCGTAATACAGTATTTTTCACCAGTACTGTATTACGGACTGCCAGGGTTAGCAGTCCAACTCCTTACCACTAAGCCACCAGAACCCTTATTATGGGTGCTGTGATAAAGAACCAGCTCTCTGAGAATGTGGTGTTTAAGCTGACACCTGAAAGCTCATAGTGGTGTTCAGTGATCATAGCAGTACGTACTAGGTAGTTCTAAGCACATTATATTAAATCATTTAATCAGTGAATTACCCATTGAGGAACTTATTATCATCATCATCCCAGTTTTATTATGAGAGAACCCTGTTGGTGAAGTATGTAATGATATCAGGCTGTCACTGAAAAGTCAGCAGTTGAATCTAGTAACTGTTCCATGGGGGAAAGATGTTCAGTTGGGAACCCAGTGGCGGATCGCTGTGGGTCAGAATGCACTCAGTGACACTGGGCTCAGGTGTTTAGTTTTGTTTTTAAGATAATTAAGGAAGCTTTGGTGGCCTAATGGCAAGAAGCTGTGCTATAATCCCAGAAGTATGTAGTTCAAATCCACCAGATGCTCTGCTGGAGAAGGAAGAGCAATCTCCTCCTGCACCAGTCAGATCCCATTTGACAGTACACACACACACACTCACAAAAAACAAAATAATAAAATAACATTTAAAAAATTAATTTAAGGGGAGCTCTGGTGGCCTAGTAGCAAGAAGCTGCACTGCAATCCCAGAGGCTCATGGTTCGAATCCACCAGATGCTTCGCAGGAGGAGGGACATTCTCCTCCTGTACCAGTCAGATCTGATTTGACGGTACACACACACACACACACACACACACACACATACACATAATTAAATAAATATTTTAAAAAAAAATTTTAAAATGAGATTACTAGGCACAAAGAAGTAACTTGTCACTCTCAGCAGTAAGTAGCAAAGTCAGAATTAGTACTTAAGCAATATGATTTCATTATCTGTTTGTAACAGTTATACTTTCACATTTTTCTGGTGGTACCTGAAGTGAAGCATAGGGATGAGGAAATCTCCGCCTCTCTCCCCTCACAGAATCCCAAAACTATTTCTCTAGCAATGGTGTCCTCAGCAGGGGTCCCTTCCCCATTTTCCCGGTGGTACCTGAGGTAAAGCAGCGTGGGGATGAGGAAAGCTCCGCCTCTCTCCCTTCCCGGAATCCCAAAACTATTTCTCTAGCAATGGCATCCTCGGCAGAGGATTGTGCTAATGTGAAACCTATACTTGGACCAAGAGGCAGTCATCAGAACAGAGCAGGGAGACGCTGGGTGGTTCAAAATCAAGAAAGGAGTCCATCAGGGTTATATTTTGTCTCCATACCTTTTCAATCTATATGCAGAACAGATCATCCGAGACGCTGGGCTGTATGAGGAGGAATGTGGCATCAGGATTGGTGGAAAATTCATCAATAACCTATGTTATGCGGATGACACAACCCTGCTTGCTGAAACTGAGGAGGACCTGAAGCGCTTGCTGTAAAAGGTCAAGGACTGCAGTGTTAAATATGTATTGAAGCTCAACATCAAGAAAACAAAGAATCTCACCCCTGGGCCAATTGGCAGCATCAGTATGGATGGTAAAGAGATTGAGATAGTTAACAGTTTTAGTTTACTTGGTTCCACAGTCAGCACTCTTGGTAACAGCAGCCAGGAAATCAGGAGATGAATTGCACTGGGAATGTCAGCTGTAAGGGACCTCTCAAGAGTACTGAAGAGCAACAACGTCAGGCTGGAGACTAAGGTGCGCCTGATCCAGGCTTTAGTGTTTGCAATTACGTGCTATACATCAGAGAGTTGGACAGTTAATAGATAGAAAGAATTGATGCCTTTGTGCTGTGGTGCTGGAGAAGAGTGTTGAATATACCATGGACTGCTAGGAGAACAAAGAGTTTTGTCCTGGAGAGGGTGAAGCTAGAATGCTCCTTGGAGTCAAAGATTCTGAAGCTTCGTCTGACATACTTTGGGCATGTTGCAAGGAGGGACTGGTCCTTGGAGAGGGACATCATGTTTGGCAGAGTGGAGGGACAGTGCAGGAGAGGAAGACACTCGATGAGATGGATCGATTCTGTGAGTGGAGTGGTGGGAATGAGTGTGTTTGAGACGGCGAGGTTGGCACAGGATAGAATGGTGTTTAGGGCTCTTGTACATAGGGTTGCTATGAGTCTCAAGTGACTTGATGGCACATAACAATAACAACAACAGCAACAGTTATACTATACTGAGAAGGAGCCAACATGTAAGAAATTTGGAGAAGAATCTTCTAGGCAAAAATCTTGACACTGAAAAGAACTGGGCATAATTTAGAGTAGCCACTTGGATTCCAGAGAATGGCACACCAAGATCAAAAGATTCAGTTGATAGAGGATCTTGTAAACCATGGAAAGGAGTATTTATTTTATTCTACCTGTAAGGATATAAATTAAAGAGTTTTAAGTAGAAGAGTAAGGAAACATTGGTGCCTCCATGGAGTTTCAGCCTTTGGATTAGTGGTGCACCTCCCTATGAACTTTGCCACCGGAACTGTATGTATTTGAACAATTCATTGTCCTCAAGTCAGAACCAACTTATAACTGACCCTCCGGCGGGTTTTCAGAGGCTGTAAATCACATGGAAAGAGACTGCCCGTCTTTCTCCTGCAGATCAGCTGGTGGATTCAAACTACGTGTTTTTGGTAGTTGGAATCCATCCAACTCCTTACCACTAAGCTACCAGAGCTATCTATTTCAGTTTATATATAAACTGACATGTATAAAGGTTAACTCGTTTATCCAGGGTCACCCAGACCTGTAAATGGTGGATCAACAGTTTAGACCTTACTTTTGACTCTAATATTCCATTATATTACTGTAAAATCATGACACCTATTGTATGGTGTGTTTATCTAACCAATTTGCCTTCTTTTTAATAGTATTATTTAGCAGTTAGCATTTAAACATTTTAAGTATTTCCCCAGAGCACACTGATGAAAGATAGAATCACTCCTGTATGAGAGTCTAAAGTTAGAGGCTATCTCAAAACAGAACCTTAACTCCGTTTTAAAGTCTTGACATGAATGTAGAATATATTTTGGTTCCAGACCACACTGTTTAACCTTGGCCATATGCCTTAAGGACAACATTCCTTTTCTCTGAGGTCTGCACATAGTCTGTTCTCAGAGTCTTTTTCATTATGGTCAAACATTCAAGATACATTTGCTTACTTTTGAAGGGGTTAGTACATAACAGTGTTGATAGATCTATATCGGGGCCCTCCAGAAACAAACATGCTTGAGGAAGTAATTTTACTAATGGGTTGCCAGAAAAACCTGTCTTGTTACTATCCTCAGACTCAAATAACCTGAATGGCATTTACCAATGACCAATCATATATAATCTTATATGTGTGTTTTGGGCCTATTTCTGCCTTCCTTTAGCTCCCTTGATTGACTTTGTGCCAGGTATAGATTTTTGTACCCTTTTCATTCCAACAATACAAAAATGTACTTTTGCCCTAGCCCAGTGGAATGACCCATTTCATGCTAACAGTGGGCAGTTCCACAAGCCAGACTATCTCTATTCCTAAACGTCTTTTACTTTTATTTGATCAGACTCCACGATATTGCTCTTTGTTTCAGAAGTATCCTGAGGTTATACTCCTATGATCTTTATAGTTTTAGGTCTTACTCTGAGGAGGTTTTTTCCCCTATGGTGTGAGGTCTGGATTTTGTTTCCGTTTTCTGCAGAAAAATACCCAGTTTTGTCAGCATCATTTGTTAGAGGCTGTCTTTTCCCTATTTGATGGATTTCATCCCTTTGTGTAAGATCACTTGTCCATAGGTGGATGGGTTCATTTCTGGTTTCTAAATTCCATTCCTTTGTGCCATTACCAAGCTGTTTTGATTACTATGACTGTATAAAGGGTTTGGGATCAGAAAGTATGAGGCCTCTTGCTTTGATTTTCTTCTTAAGCATTGCTTTGTTTATCTGGAGTCTCTTTCATTTCCTTACAACATTAGCCAGCACCATTTTCAAAATTCATATATTTGATAGATGGCTTAATCTAAGTTCCCACACAACAATTTTTGTCAAATTTCTATATTTTCCTAAGGAAAGAGAAGTTCCACGCACAAAGCTTTGCCCTTTGCTGGCCTGTCTTTCAGTTCTGTTTTGTGGTTACCAGC